AATTTTCCTAGTTTTCGAGAAAATCGAAATTTTAGTTTTTCGTAGTTCCGCCGCTCGCCGCTAGATGGCGCCACCTGTACCGTTTTGGACCGAATTCGACAAAAATTGATTTTCTGGCTTTATTAGGCATCAAAACGCATCAAACCCTAATAGAAATTTGTTTCTAAATGCCTCAGGAACCATACTACGTCGTCAAAGTGCCGAAATATTGCACCGTTCATCGCTAGATGGCTTAATTTCGTTAGTTGCACCGTTCACTGCTAGATGGCAAGGCCATAAAATGCGAGGCGCGTTTGTTTTGCTTAGAATGATCAATATGGCGACTTCCGTAAAATAGTAAATAAACGGGATTGCATTTATTATAACATCATAATAAATTTGTTTTGAAGGTGTACTTATTTATTGTTCTTATTCTTGTATCCATTAGTAAACGGCTATCACAAAGAATATAAACGTAAAGTGAAGTTTCTTAGTATTCTTAAGTTTTCTTCAAATTTATGTTGTAGGAACCATGTGCATCGTGTAGGTACACGTTTTGACTAAATAACAAATTTGAATTCGTGGCATTTAATAAATTCTGTAAATTTAATACTGATAATCTTCGAAATGTACTTTTGAATGATATTACGAAATAAACAAAACTTATATCCAATACGCATGAATAAGACACGTTATTTTCTTTCAGTTTTTAATAAAAAAATGATAAATTCGAAAATAGTTGTATAAACAAAAATCGTGGACTTACCTTTAATAAAAATGTCGCATCAGCGTGAATTGGTAAGGGAGAAAGTCCTTTTTCGGATTTTAAAAAACAAAAGTCCAACTCTTAACAACATATGTGAGAAACTGGTATTTATTTATGTATACAAATTATACTACCTATTGATAATATAATTTATATAATTTATACAATTATTTTCACTTAGATCAATCAACCAAATTTTTCAGTAGTTAGGTTCATTTTAATGTTTATATGATGCCATAAAAAAACTGTTTACAATGAATTATTATTTTAGAATCACAATGTGAAAAATATTGTTTTGTTATCAGAAGATGAACTTTGTGAACTATGGCAACATGTAAAAATTATATTGTTTGAAGCTAAGAATTTATATGCACGGTCATCAAAGAGTGACAGATATGTGAAAGTAAGTTCATTTATATAAATTTTTAAACAAATAAAATTTAATTCAGCCATGAAGATAATTTTTATATTAAAATTTTAGGAATATAATCAAATGGTTAATCTGATACGTGAAATAACTGCAATGACACTTGAAACAATAACACAAAGAATGTTTATACCTAATGTTTTGTTACAAAATGTAATGTTACTACATTCTGTTATATTCCCTAAAATGAAGAATGACCAGGTTGGTATTTTGTAACAAAACTTAATTTCTACGAGATTGTAATAAAATACAAATTTGTCTAAGGTCAAGGATGAAATATCATGTCTTTTGGAAAACTGGTGGAAATTAGATATGATATGGAAAGAGAAAGTGATAACAAATTCATTAATATACCTCATTCAAAATTGTAAATCCTCATTGGTAATTATGCATTGAATGAATCATTTCATTTATAATCAAGTTATATAGTATAAACTGCTGATGTTAAACCTATTTACTTTTCAATATTTTACTTTTTAGTTACACATAAAACGTTTATATGAGATAAAGTCTAGTATTATATTATTAAAATCTGTTGAACATGTACAAGAATTACTTAAACTTGTTAGAGAAAAGACCATAATGTCACTTGAAGAAGGTCGAATGTTGATGCTGTACTTGTTTACACTTGGGGAGGAATATATATTGGGAATTCATAATAATACAAAAGTAGTATTACAAAATATTGGACATAATTATATTAATGGATATGCAGATTTATATATGACGGCATGGTCGGATGGAACGAAAAAAGTGAAAAAATTTATCATTGAAAATTGTTTGCGAGATATTGTTTTTCATTGTTTTCGAGCATATAGAGATTCCGCGGGAAGGGGGAAGCTGGGCAAAAATTTGCTTTTATTTCTGACTGCTATTCACCATAGTAAAAATCATACAACAAGGTTTATGATTCATAACCAATGTAAACTTTTACTTTGGAAACATTTAAAGGTATCAATAAGAAAAATTATGCAGATATGTAATGGATGGGTATGCATATACGAATTGTTTATACAACTGTTTCCACAGGGTCCTGGCTCTTACATTAAATGTAATGCAATAGAAATTCTTTTTATCACGAGCTCTGTCCATTTTACGAGTACCGTAAAAAGTAGAAATAAATGTTATCTTCAAAAATATTATAAAACAATAACCGATCTTTTAAATGATTCAGATTATGAAGTTTGCAATATTACCATGAACGTAAGTTCATTTACATCCTTAATTACCTGAGCATCAGAACGCTTTAAATTAGCTTCCACATAATTATTAATATTGTATAATTTTGAACGTCCTCAGGGTCTTTTCGAAATGTTAGAGAAATATTGGAATTCTGTCCCAAGCAACTATATTAATGATTGGTTGAGCATTTTACTACATTATACTAAAAATTCTAGCAATTCTGAAATGAGAGCGAATGTTTTCATCGGTCTAAAAAACATATTAGTTAAGAAACGGTCGCATAAAATAATCGAGGATTTTCTACCGAATTTTGCATATAGTATTTACGATGAAGATAGCGCGGTACTAGACGCGCTGATCAAATTCTTATGGCATGCACAAAATCAACTTGAAATACCATTTTGGAAGATAATACCCTTAACGTACATACTCGATCGCATGGAGGTGCCTACATAATTATAATAATATCTACACTATTGCAATCGCGAATAAAAAAAATAATGTATAATGATTTTCAGACTACTCGAAACATAGTTTTATTGCGGGATTTAATAAAACTTATTTGGTCGCGTATATCGTTAAATAATGCCGACTACGATAATATAACCGATGAAATAACAGACATAGGAATGAAAAATTTTAATGCTATTAGGAGATTTTGCTTTCACTCTGAATCTGTTTTAAGCCACAGTCTGTCTGCGAAGCTTATTGAAACTATTTTACCTATAATAGAAAAAGAGATACAATGCTCAACTTCAAAAAAGATATCACAAAAAAACAGCTGTAAAAAATTGAAGCTTGTAAATAAAGAAAGCAATTGCAAAAATGGTAAAGACATATATGATTAAATTAGATTTTAGGATTAAATATTAATAGTTTTTTTTTTTTAGTAACAAACATAAATAATTACGAAGAAGATTTTGATTATAAAAAAATGCAAATATATATTGATGTTATTTCTATATTATTACTAACTAATATTAAAAATATAGAAAGGGAAGGAAAAACAGAAGTTTTACAACTAATTGCAAACATACTGCCAGAGTTATTAAAATACTTTAAGGTGGGTGTTTAAAAATTTGTTTCCACTCTATAAATTATTTACGTATACGTAATTTTGTTTTTAGGAGACTACAGTAAATGAATCAGTAATATTTTTATTTTCTGTAATACCGCCAAAATTGTTCCCAAATTTTATCGAAATTGTAGATATGTTAGTACAAGAATTATGCGATCCCAAAACCCGCGATGATATCATACTTACAATTATATATGTTCTTATGAAGTGGGAAAGAGAAGACACGATTTTACTTACGTTGACAAACGTTTTCACAAAATCTTTAAATATAAATCCACAGCATAATGAGGTACAAATAACATTTTGTTCATAGATATATCGATAATATAAAAAATAATAACCATTGTTTTAGAGCACTGTCGATGGGGATGGGGTTAAAATAAATGAGGAAGGCTTAGAATTAAGTTTAAGGATTCTAAAACATTTGTTACATATAGAACATCAATCAATTTCCGTGAATAAATATCATAAAAATATACTTGAGTTTTGGACAAGTTTACATAGATTAAAAATATTTATAGAAAGACAATTAAAAAATAATTGCAACGTGAAAAGTCTGGAATCTAAAGACTTAATTGTAGAATTTTTTAAAGAGTACATATCATTGACCTTTTTGCTACACAAAGAAGACGTGTTCGATGCACCACAACATTTCTCGGAAATGTTGTTATGGATTAAAAAGTATGAACTAATTGTATATTTTTGGCATCTTTTGTTCTAATAACATAATTAACATTTTATTTTCAACATAGGATAGTGATACCACATATATCACACATCGATGTAGATACGCTAGATAGTCATTCAACTTGTATAAATTTAATAAGAACTACTTTTGATATGTCGAATTTACTACTGAAAGGATGCAATAACACCCCAAAATTATGTTGTGATATTGTACTTTTATACTGTTGCTGTTTATCATCGGAAAGTGGTGTAGCTTTTTTGAATAATGCATTCGATGCAATAATGATATTGTTAGATTTCGGTAAAACAGCTTACGAGAATCAAGAACCAAATTTAATAAATATTGTTGTACCAAATTTTGTTTGTGTCACAATGATAACTTTAACCAAATATAACAAAGGTGTTCTAATAAAATATACAAATGTAAGTACCTTTAGAATAATTTTTTAAAATATTATCTACATTGAATTATCTAATTTATTGATTCCAGAATTTAATAGTATTACGCGAATTGACACAAAAGTACTTTTCTATCATTAAAAGTATTTTTAACAATCAAAACATGTGTCTTCCGTTCATAACTATCATGCTCAATGTTGCAATTAGCAGCATAAGCACGGAAATGACTCGAGTACTTCAAGATGCGACTACCATAGAGGAAAGCATCATAACCGTGACTTTTCCTTACTTGGCAAAAAAAATATTAAATATTATTTTAAACGTAAAAAAATACCAAAAATTAACCATACAGGTATTAACAGGAGCAATAACTAATTATACTAAAGTAAGTATCTGTAAATAGACTACTTAATATTTTACAACTTACTAATAGCGCGTTGTGTTGTACTTCAGATCGACATGCTTTCGGCTCTAGTCGTGATACACCGGTTGCATAAATCGTCCAATAAAAAGATTATCAATAAGCTTAAGAATTTAACACTAGCGTCAAAAATGCATAACCAAAAACATTCTTATCACACTGCCCTTGACAGGTACCACAAATGTTAACTTATAGAAATACCGTATTGACAGTTATACCGTAAAAATGAATATCTTACCTTTTCAGATCTATACGTGATGCAATGAATATAGTTATACGTGCAATACTGAAGCAATGATAAATAATGCGTTATTCAGCAAAATGCATTTTACGCGATGAACAATTTAATAGTTTATAATTTTCATGTGCTTCTAGATTTTTAAGAGTGCATTTTATTACATTTTTGTATGACATAGAAAGAATTATTTTTTTACAAAAATTGAAAGTACAAAATTTCGTAGAATTAGTTCTTACAGATTGGATCTTTTATGTTATTCATAGAATAAGAATATCAAGAAAATTTGAGAACATCTAAATTATAAAAATATATGTATATATTTTCTATTTATAGAAATGTAACTATTTTTATACAAAAGAAATGACTAATTACTATAAATATATACACGTTAATTTCTTTTCCCAAAAATATTTAAATAAATAACAACATTTCGTATAATTTTTAAGATACTTATCTTTCGCGTATTAATTAACTGGAATACGTAATATTTCGCATTTGTCTTACTGCAGCCACAACTCTGGCATTACATCCAGAACTACCACTTTGATACTCTTCTGGTGACAATCTCAATAAAAGAGACATGTGTTGTAAATTTTCTGACAAAGATAGACCAAGTTCTTCCAACACATTACCTAGATAATCTAGAAAATTTTTTATACACATAACATTTTAATTTATCGATTTAAATAATTTACCAGAACAAACGGCATACCTATATCAGTAGCAAGTTGTTTGCATGCAGCAGAACTTAAGAATTGACAAATTCCTAAGGTTTGATCTAAAAACATTTGACAGGTTCCTTTGGCAATGATATCCAACAGGATACCTGTAAATCCGGATTCAGTTGTACCTTGTGCATATTGCGGATCTGCTGCTTTCAGCGCTTGATTAAGACTTGGATTTTCTCTAAGCAAAAATGGTTCCAAGTGCTGAGGTAATGTCATTAAATATTGCCCAACTTGTGTTATATATTCTTGAGGTGCGAAACTGTAATCAGGTAAATCTGCGCTTAGATGAGTCATTTTATTCGTTTCTGTCGACCATGCAGGTGCCTTTTGTACTAATAATAGTTGAGTAAAAATAGGGGCAAAAATCACTTCGTATGTTGCACGATGTAAATCTGAACACAATTTGTGAATAGACTTTATTATGGCATCAAGAATGGTTTCTTCCTCTGAAAGAAAGGATAATTACGATAACGAGAAGAAATTTTATTTTCGTACAAAAGTCCGCTATTACCTTTCTGAAAGGATGAAACCAAATTTTCTAGTTCTGTTTGGCTCGATGTATTTAAAAGTAGCTTTTTATATTGATTAAAAACACTATCGGCTGTACTTTGTAATTTATTATTAGCCTCGGTTACATCGATTACCAAACACTTTTCGAACTGTTGAACTTGTCCCAAAAGATCACCTGTTTAAATTAAAATATTCGTAATAATTTTACGAACATCGTAAAAACAAAATTGACGCGAACCAATCCCGTATGTGTAATTACCTATAGTTTGCATTAAAGTGAGACACATTTGAAATAAATTCCAATCCTCGTGTTTCACTTTTTTGCGTTCCAACTGACGTATGGTTGTTTGATATTTTTCAAGGTATTTATTAAAATAGCTCTACAAATACAAGAAAATTTTACTATACATTTGATAAAAATGTCTTCGAATTTTACTTCCAGTAGCATTACATTTAAAGATTTTAGTAAACCCGGATATCCACAGCCATCCGTAAATAGTTTGCATCTTTTATTTGCTTCATTTGCGTATTCCATTACTCTCGAAATACTAAGAGAAAGAGCACTAATCGTATCGCTTAAATCATCTCGCGTACACTCTATAGACTGTAGCTGATGTTCAAGTTGCGCAGTTTCGTAAATATGATACTTAACAATGTATGGAACATAAGGCGAATATATTGCTTGTGCTAACGATAACAATTTTGAATTCTGTAATTTTCCATGTGAAGACGATTCGATAATACCTTGTAAGTTCACTACAAAATGTCTTGTAATTTGTTTAAGTTCCAACAACAGCGATAACTGCATGGCATTGGAATGTTGCTTTAATACTGCTTCTATGCATTCTGGAATGCCTGGATCTAAACTTCTTAAAAGATCGGCATATACTTCGACTATAATCTCGATCGAAACGTTTGGAAACACTTGATGACACCATTTCACCTTTATCAGAAACGTATTATTTTGATAAAACATTTTAGTTTAATAACATTCCCAAAATAATAACTACCTGATCATTCCAAGTAGATAATAGTTTATCATAATAAGTGTGTAACCAATAGGAAACATTTTCATCTTGTGCTAGTTCAATAGTTCTACGCCACTCTTGCCCTAATGAGACTTTCAAACAATTATGGTAATATTTAAGAAGTTGCGGTAAACGGTCCATTTTATCGAAAATATCCACATAAACTTTGGACTGTTCTAAATATTTTATAGGACAAATGTAAGGTATAATCTTTTAAACCATAAATTTGTTAAGCAATTAAGTAATTTACCTAAATTTGCAGCAGTAAATGCTTGAACTAACTTTGGACTAGCCATTGCTTCTAAACGATTTTTTAGTCCTTCTAATTGAAATTTTTTATCTTCATAATCAACAACATTTACAAGCATTGCCAATGATTTTTGCATACTAAACAATTTATTTGCAATGGCTTCTATATCACCCGATTCAAATACCTAGAATAGTGGAATAAATATGAACGATAGTTCATAAAACTTATCCTATTTTTACCATATAATGTACCTCTTCGACATCATTGGCCAATACACTCCAATTATCAGCCTCATGTAAGCCTTGTTTGGCAGCTTGCAAATCTGTTTTTATTTTATCTATCCTTTCTAACGTTGCCATTGATGATGCAGTGTCTTTCTCAACCTATTCAATAAATATTACCACCATGTGAATTATAATTACATAGATAGTTAACGAATAGAAAAATCTCTTTAGCAAGAAATAAAACCTTTTCTATTTCTTGTTTTACGGCAACCATTTTTTCACTTAGAGCTATAGCTTCCTGCTGTAAAAGTTGAGTATCCCTTAAGACTCTTGGTAAACTCGAAAGAACGGACTGACTGGTTTCTTCTAAAGCACCATTGACTTGTTGCACGTATAATTGTAATTTCATTACTAGAGATGAAACAAATGCCTACAATTTTAAAAAATATTTTGAAAACATCTATTGCTTTGTCAAGGAAAACCACATATGAGTTGCATAAATGTAATTATTTGAAAAATATCACAAACAGTTTTCACAATTTTTTAAAAGGCTCAAATAAACTAGAAACTGAAAATATATTTCCTTTGAAGAATAAAATTTTCATTTGCGATGCGGTAAAAAAATCATTGTAAAAAAAACATAGTGTCATTGACCGCGGTGCACTGAAAATCGTCAGTTTAGTGACTGACTGTACTGGTGCAACTGAAATTTAAAAACTTCAAGAAAAGAAGGGAATCGACGCAATCGAGATTCCCGTAATCGAACGCAACTTACATCTTTATTTTCTTGTGCCTCGGCAGATTTAAACGTTTTGTTAATCCAATCTTTGACATCGAAAGTATCTTCGGAAAACGCGGATACATCCTGAAAGCATCGATTTAAGGTTAGGAATAACTCTATTTTTCGTTTCGAGAATTTTCTCGATTATCACTAAATATGTCATAACGCTTTTAAACTCTGCATACGCGTAACATATCATTCCGAAGTGAATATGCTGGCTTGAAAATTTGTAATGTATGCGAATTGAGTAACGAACGAGAAAAAAAACAGGTTAAAAATTTACCGATTTTTTGCTGCTTACCATAGTTTTAATTTTAAATCGCAAACAGCCTTATTAAAACACTGAAAAATAAAAAATTATGAATAGTTCAACGTAGACGATAACCCGAATAACTATAAAGACAATGTTTATTTTCCGTACGTGCTATTACTTTTTCTCTACCGCCGCATAGCGCAGAAGTGTCTCATTGCAGTTTGCTGCACTTCGTGCGTTTGTGACACCGGAACCTGGATACGAGTTTTTTATTTTACAACGAAATTAGACCGTTTTTTCGTTTCGTTACATGCGTATCGCAAATTATGTTTATAAATTATTTGAAACTAGTGTTTGCAGAGTAGGAGCTACTCGGTGGATCGATCGTGCAAATGTGCAATATATGTATACTTCGGTTACGATACGCGATTCTAGGTTATCGTATTTCGTTCAATCAATGACTCGGTACGAGGAAATCGCGAGAAATTTTTGAACACCGTATTCGCTGTATAGTACGTTATTTATTGTAGTAAAAAGGTCGATACTAGAAAACGAACGTCAAAATAATAATGGATTACGATCGAAATAAAAAAGCAACGAGTAAATCGAGTGTTGTTTCTTTTTTTCTGGCAATTGTGACAAAACGACTTTTGTATCTCGGATTCCAGACGGATACTGTACGGAAAAGGTCTTTCACTTCCTGAAAGACGCGCTCCTTCACCCCGTCGCGATCATCACCGGTGTTTTCTCGTAACGCACAAGTTCACGTTTGGGATTCGGACTGCCTACCAAGATGCGGCAAATCGAAGAGGAAAAGGGAGAGAAAATGGAGAACAACGCGTTATCGGCCGCTTCCGGGCCCTTTGTTGATTGCCACGCCTCCGAGACTGCGTTTGCGCGCGACGATTTGCGCAACAGTTGGAAGTTGGAATTTTGCCTCGAAATAGCCTTAGCCTCGACGAAAATAAGGAGAGCTAGCTGAGCGGAACTGCAACACAACTGTACTTTGCCCTTTTCTTTGCGAGCGTTGAACACGTCGCGTAGCGTCGCGTAGCGTCGCGTCGTGTCGCGTCGTCCCGTTCCGATGAGCAGAGGCTACCTCTCAGGTTCACCTACGTATACGCCACGCGTGTGTGTTCGTTTTTATACGTTACCGTGGACCTATTACGTATATCATTCGATTATTCGAAGCATTCGCGATATACGATTCGATACCTTATTTGCACTTGCTTCGAGATTATACGCGCAGACGATGCCAATAACTTACGACCGTTTTTCTTCCTTTCTTTTACTTTTTCTTTTTTATATCGCCAATTTGAAACAATATCTCCAAGTTTTTATGCTCTCTCGATGCTTAACGAGGAAATTATTCTTTCGCATAAAGTTGAACTTTATTACGGACAGCAATCAAACTCAATCAGTAGAGTATATTAGAACCGTATGCATTTAACGTCGCATATAAAGTGCGTCGATCAGAAGTCCAATTTTGTAATCTCGCTGTGCATACGAATGCGTGCCGCTGATAAATTGTCCTTCAATTCGACTAGACTGGAACAATTTCAAAAACCGCCATCTTAATTTACCTTGCTCCATCACCGAAAAAGTTTATTTAATTAGACGCCTTTCTTTTTCACCGTTTACTACGCGCAATTATTTCATAATTTACGCGTTGGTTCCATAATTTTATTAGCAGATCCTCGTACACGAGCGTAAAGTAAGAACGGTCGAGCATAGAAGGTACATAGCCGTACCTTTTGCGAAGCATAAAAATTATGGAACCATTACCCTTCTACGGAAAAACCATTGTATCTGGTCCCAGGACGAATATGCGATACAGCGACCCGTAGGAAGGGCAAGAGGTGTCCTCAGCCTTGAAGCTCTACCAGCCAATCCCAAGCCTGTATCCGCAGACACAGGTCACGGGATTGGCTAAACGTTCTCCACGATACCAACCACCTCCCAAGAGCTTCCGGTTGAAACAACAGACAGATTTCCCAAAAACCAGAGAATCGGTGAGTTCAGAGAACAGGTAACGTTGATTCTCTTTTTACCTTCTCTTTCTCACTTTGATCAAGCACTCGTGTTTCCTTCGATGCACTACCAGTTGAACGACGCGAAAACCTGCAAGCGGTTATCGAGGCGCGATAAACGAACCGATCGACGAGTTTTCGTCGTCTTTCCTGCACGAAGCTGTCCGATGCTCCCATGCTGTCTTATGACCCCTTACGCGTGCAGCACGGAAACAATTTTTTTGATCGACGGAAACGCAACGATCGGCAAGATTACGCCGCGATTGATTTACCCGCGTTCGTTCCCGCGAAACACTCGAGAATCCACGTACATATTTGGTGTCAGCCTTTGGACGACGCTCGAATTACATCTGGCTGCGATACAATATATTGGACCAGCCAATTACCTTCTTTTTTCTATCTTGATTTCTAAAACGCACCAACGCTTCGGCCGTTCAAGCTTCGATTCTGGTTTGCGTGCTTGACGAATCCTCAGACAATTACTCATAAAATTCAGAGCGAGTATTTGTGCTTGGACTAGACGGCACCTTAATGCACGAATTCCGTAAGCACTAGCTCCCGCTAAATAAATCCTCCCATACAGCGCTTTATATTAATCGCTACTTATTGTTCGTTGCCGTTCGAAATTATGCATAACGATTCGTCTTCCCGTTTCGTTTTTTCCGATTTTAACGATTCGATCGAGAATCCCACGATCGAACGTGTAACTCCGTTTAATTCCGTGGCTCGCTCGCTGAAACTTTCCAAAGACAATCAACGCTATCGTCTGCCACTTTGCAAAGTAAACGTACCGAGGATGTTGGCGAACGAAATTAATGATGTTCCTTTCCAATCTAGTTCGGGTACGATCCCTATGGAATTTGCCCGTATTCTATCATAACTATACCTCGATGCACAAACACATCGTCGAGCATATCGTCGTTTCTCTTTCTAATTCTTTTCGACCGCGCAAGAAGGTGAGGTACGTTTCGTTCGCCTAGTACGCCGTGCAACGCGATCGACCGTTCCAAGGTAACAGGTCCTTAACCCGTAAGACGATCGTCGAGTATGAAAATCTTTTGTTAGGAGCAAGATTCGAATCTGTTTCGCGACGTTCGACTCCGTATCGCGTCTAATGGTAAAGAGCGTACGTTGTACTGGATAAAGAAATTATTCGACCGGTAACGGCAGTGACTGTACCGAGACCGCGCTACGGTTCTGAGAAAATAAACTCTCCCGCGCTTCTTCGTTGGCCGTAGGTTCGCGCAGCCACCTCGTGAATTCTGTTCTTCGAAGATCGAGTTGATTCGAATAGCCATGCTTCCCCCTGGGGACCGTAAGGGGACGAGGCGAGCCTCTCGACTGCGCAATTCGCGTTGCAGAGAGAGGGAGAGAGAGAGAAAAAGAGAGAAAAGGAAAAAAAAGAAAACGTAGAGACGATAAAAAGGTAAAAAGGAACGAGGCGAACGGGATATCGAATTTTTTTGCGGCCCCTCCTCGCTTTGCGCCTATATTGATTTTTAGAAATTCCTCGCGAGACGGCCGAACGAACGTACATAACGAACGAACATAGTGAAACGGATCGTAAGAGAAAAGAGAAGGAAATGAAACGAAACGAAACGAAGTGGACCGGAAAGAAACACACGGATCTGGAGTCATCGTGTCATAGGGCGGATGTTAAGCGCCGTTATACAAAATCTTTCGATCGGGCAACGTTTGGTCGTAAACGCGAAATAGGACTAACTCGGTTATTAAATCGTCGAGCATCGCGTGTTTTTACCGCGGAACGTCTGAACTCGGTCGAACGTGTAAGAGGTCTTCTTCTCTAGTAGGTTTCAAGTTGAACCGGAACGCTTTCGTGCCTCATTGTAAGGTGACGATGCGAATATTCGTTACGTAATATTATTAGCGGATGTTCTTCCGCTTTTCGTAACCTCCTTTCATCGTTTCGTGCCGTACGCTACGAATTCGATCGTTTTCCGTTGCAAAATTCCGTTGTTCGCACAGCTCCGTACAATTTCTCGTGGGCGCGTTAAAAAATACCGTAAATCGTAACGTTGATCGAATAGTTTATTCTTCGTATCGCTATCGATATTCGATAGTGACGGAATGTCGACGCGTATCGTGACATTCGAAGGAAAACGCGAGGAGTTTATTCGAGGAAGAAGCGCGATATAATATTAAAGGGGTTGCCGTGAGCACGTTTAAAGGTATTAACACGATTTGTAAGAGCGTGTTTACAGCATTTGTTTCTAACAGCGGGAAAATTCCCACCCGCGTTAGACATAATACGAGACGGTCCTGCTCATAGTCGAAAGCAATCGAAGGTAGTCGAAGTCGTCCGAGGACAGTGGAAAATAGTGGGATGTTTCCCCTCTTTCGGTTCTAACCATCCCTCTGTCCCCACCATCGGTCGCATCCCCTTCCTTCACACTCGGCTCGGTAGCTCTCTCTCTCTCTCTCTTTCTCTCCCTCTCTGTTTCGCTCGTACTCGTTGACGGTTCTCTCAGTCGCTTCCTCCTCCCTCTCTGTCTTGCTTCGGCTGGCTGTCTCCGTCTCTCCTTCTTTCCGTCTTTGTCCGTCTCTGTTTCTCTTTCTTGCTCGTTCAGCTCGTTCTTAACGTCAAACCACTTAGGGCCGCGGACCTCGGCAGTCAGTCGATCTTTCCTAGCAGCAGCATTCCGGCATTTTCCACCTGATCGCGCGCGGGCGGTCCGGCAAACGCCATTTTGTTCGTCACGTCTCTTCGACACGTCTCCTCGTTAGAGAGGATCCTCGTGCGTAAAACGAAAACGTTTGTATGTGCCGCGCACCCTTCCACGCCCCGTGGGACACCTGCGTTATCAAAAACAACAAACGAAGGCGACGCACTTTGTAATACACGCGCGTTGTTGTGTGGTGCCGGTGGTTTACTTCGATCGTTCGGTGTCAGGCAACGAGGAAGGGACGCTTGGCAAACGGGAAAGGACGCCGGGTATTGTTTTTCCGTTGACGAGACCCGCACGGAACGGAGTGCGTGACCCCGCGTGGTGTTCTTCTCTGCATGTTCTTCTCTTCGTTCTTTCGTCGAGCGCACGTTTAAGGACGACGCAGGAAAATAACACGCGAAAACGTGAGTACGCACCAAATACTTTCCACGTACGCGGACCTCTTCACCGCTTTTTCGTTTCTCGCACCCTCCAACGTTAGATCTCTTGTTTTTTTCTGCCTGCATGGCATCGTCTGCCATGTTAGACCGGCGTCTCTTTCTCTTTCTCCCTCCTTTTTTCCCTCTTTTTCTCCGTCCTTCTCTTTTCGCTTTCTCCCTTCTCCCGCTGTTCCCCTTCCTTGTCGCGCTTGTAAACCGCGCTCACCCCCCTCCCGCAGGCTCGTCCAAACAGAAGCGTCGACACGAATTTTCCGATTGCAAATTTTAACGATAACAACGATGACGATGACGGTCCCGGTGAGAAACGACGAGGACGCCGCCTGTCAAGCGACCCCTCGTCTTCATTGACGCGGCCGCGTGTTTTCGCTTACTCGTACATACGTGCGTGCGCGTGTGCGCGTGACTGTGTGCGTGTGCGCGTTGCCGTGCCTCGTCGGAGCCGAGCGAAGAGAGGGAGAATCTAGACAGCGGGAGGGAGAGAGAGAAAAGAAAGAAAGAGACGAAACGAGAACAC